TTAAAGCATCGTTGTTTTGAGAGTTATACGGTATCATTCTTGCAGGGGATATCGATTAATCGTGAAAGAAATGCATTAAAAGCGAAAAATCAAGGATAGTTTCGTGTGACATATGCCAAGTCTGGGCTATTTTGGTCTCAATGTCTCCGTCCTTCCCTCGTTATAAGGAAGGCACAGGCGGGCGCGGGCAAATCGAGCCTGGGCCTCTTGTGGTTTCACTGCAGGGTCAGCCATTGCCGAAGCGAAGTTTTCAAAGAGCGGGAAAATGCAGAAGATGATTAGATGAAGTACTTACCGCTAAAATTGTCCGCTGTCCATTGGAACCGATGTTGACGCAACGAACAAAACCACTACGCGAAAACGTGAAACGCCACACGAAGACTTGATTCGCCACACGAAGACTTGATGCGCCACGCAAACTTACGATTTGCGAAACGAAGAATTGAAATGGGCATCACTGCATGATAGTTTTTACACTGAAATCGAATTGAAACAACTAAAAATTATGAGGAAATATGTACGAACGCTTCGGATTGATAGGGATACAACTACCTGAAAAATACAAGGAGAACTTCGACGTTTCGAAGGAAGGCGTTTCGACTTGTCACTTGTACTGTTAGTGTTTATATACATCGTACTTCACCTTTACTTATAAATCTCCTCAAGAATGAGTATTATATATTTTTATGCTTTAAAATTTACATTTAACTGTCCTGTCAGAATTTATGGTATACGTAGTACGACAGTATAAAAGGTCAAGTACTATATTTAATATATACAAACATTAACAGCACAAGTCGAAGCGCCTTCACTCGAAACGTCGAAGTTCTCCTTGTATTTTTCAGGTAGTTGTATCCCTATCAATCCGAAGCTTTCGCACATATTCCCTCCAGAATTTCTAGTTGTTTTCAATCGCGATTTCAGTGTAAAAAAGTAGTAAATTTTCGACGAGAAATTCCAAATACTTTGTTTATATTTTGCAACAATTGCCAAGCATGCGTAGAACTCACGTGGGAAATCCAACGTAGTATCTGCCGTTAGCCAATCACAGGCCTGAATCAATTCGATTTCTCCAGAGCTATGCCCACCCTTAACCTGCGAACGGGCATGCTCGTGGAACGAGATTGCCATATTGCCGGGGGTGCAAAACATTGGGGCGAGCGCTCGGCCAAGCCATGGCTGCCATATATTTTACTACATGCGGCTAAATCGAGGAATGCACATTTGCCCGACGCCATCTTGAAATCATTATTAACTGGGGACATCCGTGGTTATCTTATGATAATAATGAATTAGTAAAATAGTTATCCATTAAAGTGCTCCTGTATCCCTTGTCTACATCCGTAGTTTATTTCTATTGTCAGCTGGGAAGTAAACACGCGATAAAAAGTTTTCTTTATTAAATTGACTAGAGATATTTACTATGAAAAGATGCTGATTTTAATGGCGAATTCAATGGTGTTCTCCGATTTTCCATCTACTCTGTACACAAATTCCTATAGTAGGGTAAAGACTCGAGTTTTAGAGTATTAAAGGGCGAATATCTTGGTTCAGTTTTTGAATGAAAAGGGAAAACTAGGGCTGTTTGATACAGAATTTCATGCAGAATCGAAGGGTATTTTCGGAATTTCCATCTACCGTGCACACAACTATGTGCTCACTATACGAAAGTAAATTTGCGTGCCAGAGACTAAGTGTCGATTAAGGCATACAAATCACTGTGAAAAATGTCGATACGCGAAATGCTGTTATTTTGTCTTTTCGATCGGTTTATTTTCCTTTATATCAAATCAAAAGCTAAAATAAGTCATTATAATATGATTATTTATGATTTAAAAGCATCAAAAGTGTATTTATTGTGATTTTTGCTGCTGTAAACTAGCTTTATTTATATACATAACAATTTAGTATTTAGGCATGTGCGAGCGACAATTATCCAATCAGAATCCAATCTTTTCATTTTCCCGCGAATACGTTTGTTTTGATTACATCATTCATGATAGATACTATTAGATACTATGACATCATAACTGAAACCCAGGTCATTGCGCGGAATTCAAGATGGCGTCGGTAAAATGTGCATTCCTCGATTTAGCCGCTAGTTATTTTACTAATGAGTGAGCGATAATTTTGTGTGAAAGTTTTGTTGATTTTCTCATGCTATGTTAAAAGATAGTCCAAACTTTTGTATTCTGACTGATCTGTGTGTATTTTCAAAGTACTGGTAAAGATTTCAATGGAATCTGATTGGGGGAAATCCGTAAATATGCTGATTTCTTCGACACCTTTCGGCGAGCTGTTTACAGTGGATTTACGACAACGAAACGCCGAAAACAGGGCTTTTACGTCTGTGTTTGTTTAAACAAAACAACACTACAAAAGAATCGTGTTTAAAAACAATACAACAAAGCTGTCGGGAAAGAAGAAAGACGTCCAGGTGCGAGAGTGTAACCTGATACCAATGTCAGTCTCACCTTTATATCACATGGATATATTAGAGATAAACTTATAAAAGTAAGCGAATCCAAAGGGTATATATTGAGAGATATTGAGAGTTTGAGTTGTTTATATTTTATGTTCTCATAGAAGATTATATTGCAAATAGTCATTTTATGTTTATGGCTACAAAGGAGAGGCTTGAATACGAGGATTTCGTTGGGTTGAGTCCGGTTGACAGAGTGGGAAAAGGTTGAACTTGTTGCTCCAAAGAAATTTACACAGGAACAAATTTTTGATAGTATTAATTAAGAAGGAATACCAACAAAGGCTACAAACTAATGATATTATTAAGAGCGATCCTAACACTCTGTGCAATGAATATTGGAAAGATGACATTCAAACATGGCCACATCTTGATGATGGAATGCTACATTCGACGAGTAAATGCAGTGAATGTTGAATATATTGGCAAATACAAAGATGAGAGGGCCTACTAATATTGGATGAATGGATTTGTTGATATAATTTATGTTGCCAAATGCCCCATTGACAAGACCATGACTTTTTTGTAAAGCTCAGTATGTCCATCACAAAGGATTTGTGATGACTCACATTCTTGAACAGCTGGAACAGTTGAGGCATGTAATCATGTACTTGCAGTCCTCTATATATAAGATCAACTATGCTTACAACAACCAATATATTTCCAGGGAAATGTGTGCCTGTACCAGTGCTCCCCAAGGATGGAACAAAGGAACATGAAAAGAAGTAAATCCAAGCAAGGTTAAAAATTTAATATTTAGACCGAACTCCTGGCTTCGATTAAACATTGAGGAAAGAATTTGACCCCAGAAAACCTGAGGACAGAAATATTACCAATGAAAGAGTTTCTTTATCATTTATTTATTTAGTTTTAATTTTTCTCCTTTATGTACAGTTCCATAGACAATATTTACATATTTTTCCTTATATTAATTTGGGATAAAGACCTACTAGATACCTTGTCAGGCTTTTTGCTTTAGGCCCCTAGTAAAGGTTTATAGTTAACTGTTAGATTTATAATATATTATTCTATTTTACAGTCAAATAAGAGAGAAAATTTTCAGAGTAATAGAGGAACATGCAAATAGAATGTTTTTATCAAAAAATGCTGCTTAATTTGTTTTTTGAAGATGTATTGTATGTCTTTATTTTTTATTCTAGTGAGTTCCATACATCAACTCCATTATTTAGAGAGAATATGTTCTACATAATTTGTTCTTTTATACCACTTGTGAAGTTTTGATCAGTTTCTTGTGCTACTTTGATGAATTTGATTGATAGTCACAAAAATTTATCAAAACTTCAGGCAGGTTTTTAAGATTATTGAACAGCATTGTAGATACTACTAGACTACCATATAAACATGCAAGAATAAACACTACACTATCAAAATTATTTGCGAGGTTCAGATTTGACTACCACCACAATCATCACTAGTTGGAACCACTAACCACTTACGTGCAAACTAGGTCAGCGCGAGGTGGTGATGATGGTAGTGGAAGTCAAACCCAAAAACCTCGCTATTTAACACCAGACCAGCTACGAACAGCAGGTGATATTGCTCGAGCGACATTTCAAGCAAATAGTTTTCCATGTCCTTGGACGCTCAACATCAAAGTCTGAGTTTAGTTTATTAAGATAATGAGTATATAGTTTGGATTTGAATATAGCGCAAGAGTTCGATGACTTGATATGACTAGGCAGATTATTCCATAGTAGTATTATTCTGTTAAAGTAGGATGATCTGAAGGTTGAGGATTTACAAAGGTTAGGTCGGCGCGCTATCACTACCTCGCGCTGACCTGGTTTGCATGTAAGTGGTTAGTGGTTTCTAACTAGTGGTGCTGGTGGTGGTGGGGGTCAAAACTGAACCTCACAAATAATTTCACAGTAGTGTAGTTATGTATTTATTCTTGCATGTTTTATATAGTATAAAGGCCTGTAAAATCAGTATTTACGTTGTCCAGTTTGCAGTCTGTAATATGTCGTGTTTTAGTGTTAGATGGATGGACTTAGTATGGGATTCTAGTTCTGTTGTCCAATCCTTCAATCATAGCTGTATGTGTATTTTTTATATAATATGATTGTAAAGTTAAAAAAAAAAGAAAAAAGATACTGTTCCTTCTGCTTGTGTTTTGCTCTCATGCAGTTGGCTATGGGAGTGGTTCTGACAATGAGAACAACTGACACTCTCAATATCTCTCAATATTATATACCCTTTGGATTCGCCTACTTTTAGAAGTTTATCTCTTATATCTAATTACTAATAGTATGTCATATAATTAAAAAGGTGAGATTGACATTGGTGTCAGGTTACACTCTCGCACCTGGACGTCTTTCTTCTTTCCCGACAGCTTTGTTGTATTGTTTTTAAATATGATTCTTCTGTAATGTTCATGGGCGTACCGGAAGGAAAAATTTAGGGGTGCGGAAATAAATTTGCCCGACTTTTCCGGATTTTGCCCGACAAGTATCGAAAAATTTTTTTCCGGAATCTATTTTGGCGACCTCTGCCCCCCCCCGTCGCCAAAAAAATTTCGGTCAGTGTACCATTTTAGGGGTCAAAAAATTTTTTCGGTCATACAAAAATTTTCCTGAACCTAACAAAAATTTTCGAAACATCACAAAATTGACCACAAAATTTACAGAACTTGTCCCATTTTTTTTTATAATAAACCAAAATTGCCCGACTGTTCAGCGAATATTGCCCGACTGCCCAACAAACTGGGGGGCTGCCGCCCCCCCCCGCCCCCCCATGGTAATGTTGTTTTGTTTAAACAAACACAGACATAAAAGCCCTGTTTTCGGCGTTTCGTTGTCGTGAATCCACTGTAAACAGCTCGCCGAAAGGTGTCGAAGAAATCAGCATATTTACGGATTTCCCCCAATCAGATTCCATTGAAATCTTTACCAGTACTTTGAAAATACACACAGATCAGCCAGAATACAAAAGTTTGGACTATCTTTTAAAATAGCATGAGAAAATCAACAAAATGTCCACACAAAATTATCGCTCACTCATTAGTAAAATATATGGCAGCCATGGCTTGGCCGCGCGCTCGCCCCAATGTTTTGCACCCCCGGCAATATGGCGGAATAAACCTTGAAAGGGCCTATTTGTTGTAATATGATACCTCTTGACCCTTCAAAGGTCATAAATCGCTATAATGTTTGTCTTTGACTAAAACTATCATTAGGAATTAGGATATAATTTCTCGCTGAATCGAATGGTGGTATTTTCATCTACATAGCATGTACCAAACCGAAGATATGAATATGCAAAATAGTATTACAATATCGACCTACTTTTCACACGACCTGTCGCCCAGGAGTCACTTTTTTATACAACCGGGCCCAGATATGTTATTTTGCATTTTGTGAGCTTTCTTTTAAAGGATTAGTCGATTACGATTAGTATTTCTACAGGCTGTCCCAAAAAAGTACCCTCTATAGAAGTTTATCCTATTGTTGTTTAGCACAGGATTTTATGCGACTTGTAATTAAAAATTCAATTCAATTGTGTTTACGCACTCTTGTGTTCAGCATAGTGCTCAGACATTCAAATTACAACAATAGGATAATTTCTTTTAACAAGTTTTATTTGGGACGCCCTGTATCAGACTCGTCCCCAGTCGTTATTTGAATTTCAATTTTATATATAGGGACGAATAGGTATATATCCATATATATATACAGATCAGTACCAAATGTGGACGCGCGCAAGGGGAAAAGGGAAGGCGAGGGAAAAAATAACGACTGGCAGATTACAGAGACAAAATGGCGGACAATTTGACAACAGAAGAGGAAAGACTATTTTAATATACACCACAGAGCGTTTTTAGCTGATAAACTCCCTTGTCCGCATGAGGAATGTCAGTATAATTTATCTTGCTATGATCAAGATGGTTTATACCACCATTACAGGACAATCCATAAATGTCCTGTAACCTGTTATTTCAGGCTTTCAGCTGATTAGTGATGTTAAAATTTAAAAGGCGAAAAGTCTTATTGTGCCAGATAACTGAGAGAAGCACTCAAAGGAAACACTGTCATGTTTGGAAAAGCTATCGATTAACAACCAATCGAAGGTATTCGTAAATCTAGAGTGTTGAATGCCTTTAATTGGAGCCAGCGAGCAATATAAAAAACAGGTTGGTATTTTATTCAATTTTATTTATGCGTTTATATCTTTATATTTCACGATGAAATGCACTCTTAAACTCTTTGGATTATAAAGAAGACAGCTTTTTGCTGGGGTTTTTTTTGCAACCTGTGTATTTCACAATTTGGTTGCTGAAACTACAAATTTTTGTTATTTATAAATTACTTTATAAAGTGCTATTAACTCCAGGTTTTGTGTAATATGATTATGTGCCAACTTAAAACTTTGCATACAAGGCTATTAAATCAATGACAAGACTTTTGGAGCATTCAAATATTTCCCAAAATACCTGTAAATAACAAAATATACCCCCCCCCCATAACTAAATGTTGCTGTATGATGAAAAGACGTTACATTGGTCATTAACAACACATTGTTTGGGGGCACAGGGTTGTAGGGATAATATAGAAGCTCAGGTGGCACATAACTCCTATCATAGCCTTAATTAAACAATTTGAAAAACCAGAAATACTGTATCAATGCACTGGGGCCAATCTGGCAATTACTTCTAACTATGTTCTGACAATCCTTGCACTCATAGTCCTTGAAATGATAAGGTAATTTCTACCTTGTATCATGGCCAACGTTTAGGGCCACTTTCGGTGCCTTAGCAAGCTTGATAATTGGGAGAGGCTCATATTCATATATTATATTCGTGTTCTGCGTTATTAATTTCTTTTGAAATTGATTGTTTTTATGGACTGTGAATAAGGTAATTAATAGCTTTATTAGCATGACCATAAATTTACAGTATTGCTAAAGCATTACAAACAATATATAGAAGAAACTAGGACTATTACAGATTACTATTTGTGGAATGATTTATAATAGACTAATACAATATTAAGAAAAATTAAGAGGAAAGAAAGAAGACAAGTATGCTATTTACAAATAAGGTGGTTATTACAACCTTTGCTAATCCGCATTCCTGGTTTCAAGGTATTTAAGTCTTTGCTTGAAACATGAATAAACAAATTTTGAAAGTTTGGTAATGATTTCACTATCAGTTGATTTCATTAGGTCCGCTGATAGAGTTTGAGAGTTTAGATTAATCTCGTCAGATGAAGCATTCTCTAATGAACTTCGAAGGTTTGCACGAGATTGCTCATAGGCTTTGCAAGAGAGGAGGAGATGGGTTTCACTTTCCACCTCTCCTGAATTGCAGATTTTACATAAGCGTTCTTCACGGGGTATATTTTGATAGCGCCCGATCTCAATTTGGAGGTCATGGTTGCTGACTCTAAGTCTTGAAAGACATCTTCTTTTGTGTGGATCTTTTATAAATACTAGGTAGTTTTCGAGGTTGTGGTCCGTTTTGAACGTTGAGTAGAAAGTCAGTTTGGATGAATTTTCAAGTTTATGTTTCCAAAATGTTAAGTATTTTTCCTCAAGGGTTTTGGTAATAGTTTTAATATGTTCAGTCGTTACGGCTTCTAAATTAAGGATTTCTTCATTTAGATTTAAATTTTTGATAGTATCCATTGCATTTCCGTAAAAAGATATTTTCTGCTTGGAGTGTAGATCTTTCGAGATTAGAAAAGCTTGCTTCGCAATGGTTGTTTGGGGAAGCGAGTTTAAGTGAGTGATGTATTTGAAGACCCTTTTGAATACGTTAATGATGAGAGGGAGTTTTCCAAGCTCAGCTCTGGAGGCAATGTTACTTGCTTTCCTACTGATAGCGAGGTAAATTTTACAGAACTTAAGATGAACCTTCTCAATTGGTGATTTATCCCAATTGTTGAAATCATTTTTCACGTATGTCCCCCATACTTCCGAGTTGTATAGTAGGATAGGAGTTATAATTGAATCAAATATTTTAATGGCATATTTGGGATTGAGATGGCTGAAATTGAGCTGTCTTCTTATACCGTATAGAGCATGCAAGGCTTTTTCGCTTAGTTGTTTTAGAGCTAGAGTAAAATTACCATTGTGATTTAGTTTGACTCCTAGGTAACAGTATTCCTGTACGATTTTTATGTTCCGATTTCCAAGATTAAAAATTGGTCTTGCTTTTCTTGTTTTTCTTTTTTCAAATATCATTATTTGTGTTTTCTTCAAATTTATCTCCATAAGCCATTTTTTTTTCCAACAATGGAGATCGTCTAGAGATTTTTGTAGGCCGAATTTTGATCGAGATAATAAAATTAAGTCGTCGGCATATAGAAGGCAACTCAGTTTAGTCCCATTTGGTAGTATAAACGGATCGGCAGCTGTATTATCAAATAATGTTGCTAATTCGTTTATATAGATATTAAATAAAAGGGGGCTCAAAATACACCCTTGACGCACTCCTTTAGAGTAAGAGAAAAATTCAGTTCGATTTATTTTACTTTCTTTTACGGCGCATTTAGAGCTTGAATATAGACTTTTAATAAGGTTGTAGAAATGACCATCAATTTTGTTTTCAAGCAGTTTTAAAAATAGGCCTTCGTGCCAAACAGAGTCAAAGGCTTTTTTAAAGTCCACAAAGCATGCATAGATTTTTTCGTTTTTCTGATTTATGTGTTTATCAATTATTGTTTTTAAGACGAAAATGTGGTCAGCTGTTCTGTGGCCTGACTGGAATCCGATTTGAGAGGGGTGAATTATGTTTCTATCAATGCTAAATTTACTTAACCGTTGATTTAAAATAGTACAAAGGAATTTACTGAGACAGCTAGTCACGCAAATTCCTCTGTAGTTATTGGGGTCAGCTTTATCTCCTGACTTAAAAATTGGCGTAATGAGGCCTTCACACCATTGATCTGGGAAATGCCCTGTTTTTAAAACGAGGTTAAAAAGTTTATGGTATAATTTAAGTAATATTTTGACGCTATGCTTCAGCATTTCGTTTTTTATCTTGTCGGAATAAGCAGATTTGTTGTTTTTTAATGTCTTTGCAGCACTCAAAACTTCTGCTTCAGAAATAGGTTCATCAAGAAAATTATTTGGTGTTTTTTCTTCAAGTTTTGTTAATTTTTGTAAAATGTTATTCTGTTCTGTTTCTAATGTATGTTTAGCATGCAAGGATTGGAAATGAGTGAGCCAGCTGTTAGCTGAGACATCTGGTTTGCTCATGGAAGGGTCCCCAAAGTCATCACTCATGTTCTTTAAGAATTTCCAGAAGGAATTTGGGTCATTTTCAGAAACTCTTTCCAGTTCTTCTAGTTTTTTTTCATGGAAAAGTTCTTTTTTGCGTTTTAGAGTGTTTTTATAAATCTTAAGTGTGGCATGGTATTTGTCCCTTATTTCGGTGTTAACGGGATCACGGTGTTTTTGGTTTGCGAGTCTTCTTACTGAATGTCTTTGTAGTCGACATTCTTTGTCGAACCATTTTTTATTACAGACATTGGAAGCTTTATTTCTGTATTTGTTCTTTTTGATTTTCATGGATTTTTTAGCAGCATGCATAATTAAATCTTCTACTTTTGAGGCAAACAAGTTGACATCTTCCTTTGAAGAAGATGGATTGGAATTAATCAAATATTGAAGATTTTGTTGAGTTTGAAATGATTTAAGATTTTCTGTAAACTTAGTCATTGAGTCATTGTCCCATACGAATTGTTGTGGAAGCCTATGTGTTTTAGGTTGTTGCGTGTGAGTAGTCTCACTGATAGGGACATGAGTAGGAGCTCTTTTAATCCAAGTCACTAGTTGACTATGGTCAGATAGATACGTTGGTGGTTTGACAATAAAGTTTTTGATGGTTTGGGTTAGTTCTTGGCCACAAATTATGTAGTCAACCACACTTGAGCCTTTTTGGCTGTGGGAAGTTGGTTTACCAAATGAGTCACCAAGGGTTCTACCATTCAGGATTCTCAGATTGCAGTTTTTGCAAATCTCAATCAGACATTTGCCATGTTTATTAATATAGTTATCAAAACTTTCCCTCATTTTTGGTTGAAAAGAGGTTTCAGTAATATCGTTTATGAAGGTATTTCCTTCTTTTGAGACAAAATCTTCAAGTTTGCTGGTACGGGCATTAAAGTCCCCCAGCAGCATAACATTTCCTTTTTTGGAGAAATACACTACATCATTTTCCAGATCATCAAATATTTCCTCGTCAAAGTAACGTGAGTTTTGAGGAGGAATATAGACTCCACAAATAAATAAGTCCTTTGTAGAGTCTAGGATTGTGTTGTCTATTCGACACCACAAGAAATTTTTAGTTCGTTTTTCGAGAGAAATTATATTTTCAAACTCTTTTTTGAATAGAAGCGAAATTCCTCCAGACAGACGGCAACTGGAGTTTGATTTAGGGGTTGCCGTAAGTGAGGATATCGCCTTGAAACCAGGAATGCTATTAATTTCTTTAGACCATGTTTCAGTTAAAAATATCAAATCATGGTCTTTTATATTATCTATGAAGTCATTATTGCTTAGCTTATCGCCAAGAGTATAATGCTTTAAACCATTTATATTCCAAGCACTTATTGATAGCTTAGAAAACATTTCTCTGCAAGTTTTCAAATGATTGGAAAAAGGTTGACTGACCCAAAATAAATTTGGGGCATTATGTTTTGCATATTTATATTAAACTAGGTATTAGATATGATGATTAGTATGGTTAATTAGGTTATATATTGAATAATGATGTGGTAACAGTTTTATAATAGAAAAGGTATAGGTTTAACTAATTGGTACTCACAAAATCATTGGAGTAGTCCATGGAGAAAATTCATCAATTCAGCAATTTTCAGGTTGGCATTACCATTTAATGGTCTCATCATGTTGCTTGGGCTACCATTGTGTGCACGTTGGGGGGAGTGTTGATGGTAGTTTGAAGTTGAAGGGTTACGGGATGGATGATGCAGTGGAATGGAAGGTAGTGGTTGGGGATAAGGTCTGATGGCTGGATGGGGATATGGTTTTGGTTTAGAGTTTGCTCTTTTCTGATGGGTTCCATAATATGCACTTTTAAGGTTTTTTGCAAAGATTCTGAAACCTTTGTCGTTTAGGTGTTTCTTGTCATAGAGTATTGATGTGGACTGGAATAGGTTTGCATGGGTTACAGAGGTTGTGTTTGGGAATTCTTTTGCAGTTTTCATTAGTTTTTCATTGAGGTCTTGGGCTTTTTGAAGGAGGTTGTCGTCGCGGGGGAGGAGGCAGGAGAGTATTATCCGGGATTGAGGGTGTTTTTGATTGATTGATGATAGGAGGGATTTCATTTGTTTGGAGATGTTGTCAGTAGGTAGTTTTTCAATGTCATTTGTACCACAGTGAATGATAAAGGTCTTAGGCTCAATGAATTTGTGTCGGTCAAGGATTTCTCTAGCTTGTTCTACTGTAGGGCTTTTCAGGTATTTGGTAGTGGAGTTGGGGCACAGTAATGTTGGATTTATGTTTCTTCCATTGGAATCGCAAAGGATAACAGTGTCTGCTTTTATTTCTGTTAGGGAATCTTTTTCTTGTGTTTGCATTAAACTGTTTGGCATGTCAGGGCTTTCATTGTCAAAGGCCGAGAATTTGTTCTGAGTAGTGATGGTGGATATGAGGTGGGTTTCCAGGGGTGGATTTGGTTGGGTTGGTTTTGATTCCATGGTTGATGTGGGTTCAGTGGTACTTTCAGCTGGAACTATTTGGTGGGAGGATTCTTCAGTGGATGGTGGAATTACGGTTTTTTGTTTTAGGTCTTTACATAGGGTAATGGCATTACTAACTTTCTTTTCTAATTGCTTTTGTTTATGTGAGATGTTAGTCAGATCAGCATTCTCTTTTTTAAGAAGCTCATTTAGTGTCTCAAGACTGGTAATCCTTTTCTTTAAAATTTCGATTTCATCATCTTTTTTCTTCATATCTTTCTTTATTTCTTCGTATGATTTTAGAATATCTTGTTTGAAGGAAACGAAATTTGTTTCAAGATTTGCCACATTGGTTTTAATTATTACAGATTCTTCACATGCGGGGTTCGAGTTACCAGCAGGATTTGGAGTTGCTTGTGGGGACATCTCATTGACTTCATCCAGTCTTGTTTCTTTAGTTGGAGTCTGTGTAATATTCTCGATGAAGGTTTGAAGGTTTTTACTTGCTGTATTGGAGGATATTTCATCGATGTCTAGGTCTACCAGCTTCTTGATTGTAAGGAATTCATTATCGCCCCACGCACGCATAGAACGTCCTTGTATCTGGATTCTACCAGTGCTACAGTAAATAATTATGGTAATAAGATTTTCATCCGTTTTTTTGCCTTCGAGGGACAGAATTAGTGTGATTTTTTCGCATTTCGATGAGTCGTTTTGGGCGAGTTGTTCTTCCCAAGTTGATTTAAATAATTGCCGTTCGCCATCTTGATTGTTTATTTCGCCGCAGTAGCGATAATAAAATATTTTTATCCAGTGAATGATCCGATCTTCGCTGGTTAGAAAAGCCACGCAATTAGCAGATGGTTTGTATATGGTGTAATCGATATCTTCGTAAGGAACAGTTCGTGCTTTTGTGTTTTTAAATTCTTCATATTTGTAGCGTGTAAAATTCAGATCAACATTACACGTGGCGACGGACGAAGCCATATTTGCTTTTTTCATCAGTTTATACTTTTGATTTTCCAAAATTTTTTCAATATTTCTCTTCTCTGTATATTTAACTTCAAAAATTTATTTGGGTCAGCCAACCTTAACCAAGGATTCGATTTAAAAAAACGTTTTCATGGACAGTTCATTTAGCGCATAACTATATGTAACTCGATATGGTCGCTGATGGCGATATGGTCGCTGATGGTGTTGCTGTATGTTCCGTCACCTGGGTAAGTAATTGTGTGTTTTTTGTTCGTCTTTGTATTCCAGTTTCCACTTTGTGTGACAATAGTTCTGTCTTTGGAGAGGTGAATTCTCGGCATCATTGGGATTTTCCAAGCCGGGATAGTCGTTGGTCGGTAGCTTGAGTTCCTACTTGACAGTCAAATTGACTTCAGTTCGTGGTTACAGCCTTGCTAAACGTAACGTGCGTCCTCTTCAACAGAGCTATACCATCCAAAGAACTGTCGTGCTTAGGTCATGTGCTATTACTCTATATGCTCTTGCTATTCGTTCACTGAGTGATCGCATGTTAATATTATTCAACTTTTTCTACGAGTGAAGATCTTAATTTACAACACCTACTAAGGACACGGCAAAGCTTAAATCAAGCACTTGCATAGATAATTAATCACACCTGATTGCACAATACCCAAATTGTTTCAATGGGATTGGCAAATTTCAAGGGGAATATCACATCACCTTAGACCCTTCAGTTCCACCTGTCATTCACCCCCCCCGACGCGTACCTATTAGAGCTAGATATTATAACCAAAGTTATAGAAGGTGAACCCACAGCATGGGTCAACAGCCTAGTTTACCGAAGGAAACCCAATGGAGGCTAAGAATATGCCTGGATCCGAAAGACTTGAATGTCGCTATCCAACATGCACATGACCACCATGTTACACCAACCTTAGAAGAAATTCTACCAAAGTTGAATGGTGCTACCCATTTCTCTATCCTCGACGCAAGAACGTGACAACTAGTCCGACTACTGGAACGTAACAACTAGTCCAACTACTGGAACGTGACACAAGATGAAGAATCCAGTTATTTAACAACGTTGAACTCACCCTTTGGGCGATGTCGATTTAAACGAATGCCATTCGGTTTAAAGATGTCACAGGATGTTTTTCAATCAAAAATTGATCAAACACTTGAGAGTTGCAATGGTGTTGTGGAAATCGCTGACGACATAGTGGTCTTTGGCAAGACAGCGGAAGAGCATGTTGAAAGCCCACATGGTATGATGGAGAGATGCCAAAACACCTGTCTAGAGCTCAACCCTGAGAAATGCTTCATAAAGCAGAAGCAGATCAAATTCTAAGGAGTTGTATGCAACGAAGAGAGCATTATGCTAGATCAATCCAAGGTTTCCGTCTTGAAATAGATGACAAAGCCCATAGATCGTCGTGAGAAGTTGTTCTACAAGTGGACGCTTCAACAAAGGGTATCGAAGCAGCACTAATACAAGAAGGGACGTGGAGAGCAGACATCGAAAGAGAAATGCTGGCTGTTGTATATGAATGAGAACGTTTCCACACCCATTTGTTTGGACGACCAGTAATTGTCCATACTGACCACAAAACGCTCGAGGGTATCCACCTGAAGCACCTCACGTCTTCGCCACCCAGACTGCAACGTATGCTACTCCGGTTACAAACCTACGATCTAACTATCAAATATATTCCAAGAAAAGACATGCTACTAGCAGATGCTCTGTCACGATTATCCCCCGAAGAAAAGAACCCAGTGAAAGATATGAACGTGGAAATTCACGAAGTTTGCCCACAATTTAGCAGCGAGATGATCCAAAAGGTCAAATAAGCAACAACTTCTGATCAAGAGCTGATGATGCTCAAAACGATTGTGCACGAAGACTGGCCAACATCAATTAAAGAATTTACACAAGTTCTCAAACCGTATTGGTGCTACAGAGACGAAATTACTACCGACAATGGAATACTCATGAAACGGCAATTAATCATTATACCATCAATCCTTCAAGTTGAAATTCTTGGAAAACTTCATGCAGCACATCAAGGTGCAGAGAAAACAAAACTTGTGCCAGAATATCCGTTTCTTGGCGAAAGATGAACGAAGATATCGACAGAAGAACCAAATCTTGTCGTACCTGCCAAGAATTTCAACAAACACAAACCCGACAACCACTTATCCCAACAGAGATACCACCTCGCCCTTGGCATACAATTGCCACTGATCTGTTCTATCTTGATAACACAGAATATTTGCTTATTTCCGATTGTTACTCCAAGTACCCATTTGTTAGGAAAAGCCCAAAAGGGCAGAGCAACAGCAAGACCATTATAGCGATCCTAAAGCAGATATTCAGCGAACAGGGAATCCCGGAGGTCGTTCGTCTGATAACGGTCCACATTATTCCAGCAATGACTATCGCGAATGTGCTAATGAATACGGGTTCCAGATAGAAACAAGTTCGCCCCACTATCCCCGAAGCAACGGGTACATTGAAAGTCAAGTGAAGACAGTGAAAGCAATATTAGCTAAAGCTAAGAAGACCGAAACTGACCCGAACATTGCTCTCCTTTGCTTGCGCTCCACACCGATAGATAATGCGTTACCATCACCGGCAGAACTGTTCATGAAAAGGAAAATTCAAGACAATTTACCGCGGAAAATTACCAGGGGTCACAATAGTGATGACATTATAACCAGATTATAGCAAAGGCAGGAAAAGCAAAAACAATATCATGATCAACACGTGAAACCGCTTCCTGCTCTACAGTCAGGACAATCTGTCAGTGTCCAAAATCCATCGACTGGAAAATGGAGTCCAGGAACCATAAAGGAAAATATTTTAAATACCCCCAAGATCTTATCAAGTCGACACACCAACTGGGAAATTGAGGCGTAACCGAGTCCGGCCACCTACGAGAAATACCATCTACGCCACAATCAAGCACAACCACCAACAATCCTGACAACAACAACACGTCAGGTAGAGTAACAACTCGAAGTGGACGAGTGGTAAAACTACCAGACTATTACACATGAACTGCATGATAATAAGATTAATATTTTTATTAATTATAGTTGACATCGACTTTGTTCTGTTATAGTAGCGAAGTAGTTGTAGTTCGCTACTGTAGCGAACTACAATTTTCAAGTAGCCAGTAGTTTTTCACTACTTTTTTAAAACAGTAGCTGTAGTTATAGCGAACTACATTTTGCCTAAAAGTAGCCAAGAAGTTGGCTACTTTTCAAACAGCGAATCGCTGTTCACTACTTTTTAAAATTGTTAGCAACTTGATAGAATAGCATGATATTGAGACTCGATCTGCTTAAAATCAATACTCAATAGTCAATTTGCACGCCTGAACACTGTAGTGCTTTTAAAAATGTTGCTTTGTGTTTACTGTTGTTACTCGTAAATCGATTTGTTATAGGTTACATTCCAGCCTGAGTTAATAGATGCTCCAAATACAGTAAAACTAAAAAATACAGAGTAGCGAAATAGCGAAATAGTTCGCTACATTTTTTAAGCAGTAGCTGTAGTCAGTAGCGAACTACCTTTGTTTAAAGGTAGCAGTAGTTGTAGCTGACTACATATTTTTGAAGTAGCTGTAGTTATAGTGAACTACAAAAAATTTGTAGTCAACCCACCCTTGGTTATAAGGGATAGAGGGATGTAGTGTATATTGTTACGTCATGTAACATAAATATAAGGACACAAGAACACGTGATATAACATTATGCAGGCTTGTATAAAACATGACGAAAGGCCCAATATAGTTTGTATACTTATTCTTTGTACTGATTGATATTATACGGCAATCCTAATGAACTAAATACGAAACACAACAAAGAATGGCTTAAAAATTTTGCAAATATGAATAAAACCGATAACACAAAGCAAGTAGGGCATGGAATTTTACTACTGAAATGTTTACACTTACCCAAACCGGCACAACAACGTGAATGATTAAATTATTAAAAACATCAACATTTACAAACAATTATTACAAACTTTTTTTCACGGTTGAACAGCCACTCAATCATGAAACTGCAGACTTATTTCCAGATGAAATCGAAAAAAAAAGTTCTGTAATTTTTAAACTTTTTACGAAATTTAAAACAAAAAATTTCTGTAAAACAGCAAAATACGTCCTTTCACATGAAAAACAATTATTTGGCCAGAACTTGTGCTTGCGCATGCGCATAACGTCGAAAACCGTCCATGACATAAATAAAATGGAGGACAACTTTGCAATTCGGTATGTTTTCTCATACCCGGGTATAATTAGCCGGTATTAGTACGCTCGGCCCAGGCTTGCGCCCGGAATTTACAACGAATTTAAAGAATATTTTTATTGTAGATGCAGCGCTTAGTCAGAGGAAGCGTTTATTGGATAAGTGCAAAATTTACGCTGAAAAATACTTCCTGAATGTTCGGTTGTCAGGTGACCTCACGAATCAACAGCTTGATGAAGGCCAACTGCATAACGTGAAATATTGATCACCTCATAGTAATGAAACAATTGTTTTGTTTTGTTTTGTGCTAAAACACCACGTTTAATTATTTGACAAACATTTTCCACCTGTCTGCCCGAATCATCATTAATGGAAATATTATAATTAGATTTGGAGATAAGAAATAACGTGAGTCTTGTGTTAATTAATGAACTAATGACGGTCCGAGCAAGCTTTGGTGTTTCTGCAAAAAATCCTATTCATTTTCACTATGCATATATAAAATAAGATTGATTAATTCATACTACAAAAATTATCACACACTGAACTTTGCAACCAATCAACTTTATTTAAAACTAAGACAAGATTTTACACTAGTTAATTACTTACATTACTATATTTTGCTCACTGTACATAAAGTAATAATTATACTGGAGTAATTCTGAGTACATATTTAGAGTAAATATATGAAATTAATATCTCAAATGTTTTTACGAAGCTATATGCCTATCAACATTAGTGCATATAATCAAAAGTTCTCAATGATACATGATCTGTAATTCGATGGCCGAGTGATATCACAAGTTAACCATCTTTTATTGAAGGTATATCAGAAAGAAAGAAAAGTTGTCTGTATCTGCATAACGACAACAAGGAAGGGGGGGGGGGGGACCATTCATCAAAATTATCAAAACAATGAATGGAACGTGCATTCCGATTAATCTTCTTTATTCAAGCTAAAGCCCGGATCGAACGAGAGGCAAGTCATCGTAAGTTTTAACTTTAGAGGAATGGAAAAAAGGATTTGATCAAACAACACAAGGAGCGTAGAAATTAAATTTGCTAAAAACATACCGGTTGGAAAATACATATTTAAGCGCGTTTAAAAACTAAACACGTAAATTTTTTGTCAGGGCATTTCCTGTATTGTCGGGTTTCATGTGACGTCACGTGGGGGGTTAAGGGTGTGTATCAAGGTAAGGGATGGTTTGTATATTATTTATATTGTTTTATATTAGCTCTTGAATAGTCGGAGAACTCGTTTGCATGAGGTGCGTTGACAGCCATTTTTTTTGTTTCTTTGCTGTTTCAGTTGACCTCAGTTCAATGATTGACCCCCCACTTGAGCCAAATTATGCTAAAATATCAGATGTTTGAAACCCAAGAAATCCGTTTTTCTTTAGCAAATTACTTATTCCATCTTTTTTATGCCTCAGAAATTAAAACTTTCGATGACTTGCATCTCATTTGGTGAAGGCTTAAGACAAGTTTGATATTCGTGTACTAAGCTAAATTTAAGATTGGTTTAAAAAATAACCATGTTCGGTTCGGTGAATATATCAAGATACTTCTACATAAGATAAAATACCTCGACTTCAGATGGAGTGAAATACCTGGTTCCTGCCAAGATGCTGTTGCGGTCGCTAACGCCTTGTGGAAGTTTGTAGGAGCGACCAAACCATGTGTACGAGGCGCCGTTGTTGCCTATCCTCAAGTCGGTACCACTTCCAAACCTTGGTCCATCAATGGCATAGGCCTTAACTGCCGTTCCATCATCTTGATTAATCAGTGGAGCTTTAAATGGCGGGAGATGTTCTTTATTTCTCAATGAAAACAAGAAGGACCCTGGAGCTTGTTTGTCGACACGAATACCTGTCATAACGTAAATATATTGATTATAAGATATTTAATCATGTTTAATTAAACTGAATATCGTTGTTGTAATGATTTTACCTCAGAGAAACCGAAAAAAAGCTGTTGAACTGTTTTCGTGTTGTCGTATTTTTAGTCGCTTTGGCAGGCCGGCAAAATTAGACCGAAACTTTCTGACAGCTTATCAAACTGTCTACACGTGCGAGAAAGTGGATGGGGTTTTTCAACAAATTTCCCCCACGATAGGTAAAAGCAATGGGACTGAATGAATGAATGAATATATAATTGTCATCCCTAAAAAGGGCTTTCAGAATCAATATACTACAATAGTTACAAGAGTGTAATAGAATCTAAGATAGTAAAGTTAGAACTGCTATACTAAAACTACATTTACATTGTCTATTTAATACTTTAACATACATGAAATTATTGGTCGATTAAAATTGTCTTAATAATTCTTTCTTCTATCTAATTAGTACTCTAAAATACATATAGTTATTGGTCCATACGAAACTGTCTCAATAACTCTTTCTTCAAGTTAAATTTAAAAACACTAATTGATCCGCATAGTTTAATGTCAAGAGGTAACTCATTCCATAGTTTTGCTATACGACACTTAAAGGATTTCTCTCCCTTTACACTTGTAAAAGTGGTAAATTTAGCTTGTCAGATTGTCTAGTTGTCCTTCTGCTGAGTGCTGACAGCTTCTCTTGTAGTAAATAGAGAGCTCGGGTAGTTGGGTGCCAATCCGTTCATACATTTAAATGCGAGCACTGCGTCCCGGTAAAATAAGTGCTTTTTCACCGGGATCCACTGTAACTCCTTTAGGATTGGGGCACGTGATCATACTTCCGGAGTTCGCCAATGATACGTGCCGCAAAATTCTGTACCGACTGAAGTTTCTTAATGTTTCCCTCGGATGTCGTGGACCAGACAGATGAGCAATAGGAGAGTTTACTAAACACCAGTGAATTAATGATTGTAATAAGTAATTCTTCATTAAAGACATGCTTAACTCGGTTAATTTGTCCTAGGGCAGACATGCATTGAGCTGACACTTTAATGATGTGTTCATTAAAATTGAGATTGCAATCAAAAGTTACACCCAGGTCCTTTATCGATTCATTTGGAGAAAGTGTTTTGCCCAGTAAGGAGAGTTGAAAACATTTTGGTAGTTTGGCGACCATCCGTCTGCTTCCGTAAACCATTAGTTGAGTTTTACCTGGGTATATTAGTAAAAGATTTTGGAAGCACCAATTTCGGATTCTCTCGAGATCTTCATTTATAAACAACATAGTTGAGTCGCACTCTTTGTCTGAAAAGCACATGTACATTTTTGTGTCATCCACATAACTTTCAGTAGGGCACTTACTAGTTGACATCATTGACATATATGCTAAACAGCAAGGGTCCCAAAATGCTTCCTTGAGGTACGCCATTTTCTATATTTAAAGCTTCGGATAGTGTGGAATTAATACGGACAGACTGGTATCGATTGGTCAAATAACTCGTGAACCAGTTTAGGGCTTCAAAAGACAGCCCAACATCTTTGAGTTTGCTAATCAGAATGTCATGGTTCAAGCTGTCAAATGCTTTGGACATATCCAGTAAAACAACTGCGGTCAGTTTTTATCATCAATTGCCTTTAGAATTACATCAGTTGACTTTATTAACGACGTTTCGGTAGAGTGCCATTGTTTATTGCCGTTTTGATTGACTGCAAGACGATTATGGAACAGGAGGTAGGGCATAAGTTGGTTTAAAGCCACCTTTTCACAAACCTTAGACAGGATTGGTAATAGCGATATAGGCCGATTATTATCAGCTGGGATGTTGGAAAAACTTAATCTAAACACTTCATCAACAATTATGAAAAGCGACGTATTCCTAGGTATTCACATGTCTATACGGGTTAGAAGAAAACGCATATTGCAACAGTATTCTGACGTGGAATATTAGTGTGAATACGGCATAGTATTGCAGAGTATTCCAAGCGTGAATATGCCGTGAATATGACACATATTCACCTAATATTCACACATGGAATATCATAATCTCATCTCATACGTGTTTCCACAACATAGTTTGTAAAGTTAAACATTCCTTTGAATGCTTCAGATTGGAAGTGGAATAGATAACAACATAATAAGAAGTGAATCCCTACTGCAATTTATGATGGAATTTGATGATTCATGATGTCTGTAAACAAATTTCAGGTGTTAGCATATTATGTTTAGCTAACAGCTAGATAAAATACTTGAAAATTCCTTCTCTATTTGGATATCTCCATATCAAAAACCAAACAGATTAATACCGCAAGGCGCACACAAGAAGGCGTGGATAAAATTGTATTATAGTACTTTTTATTCATTTTGATATCTCGTGCATGTTTTGAATGGACACCGTAATTTACTAATTTCGTACTTATTTGAGCGCCATGGCGCTCTTTAAATATGATTTTCAATGTTGCAGATGAAATGCAGCGGTTATTTTGCTCGCTCAAATGAGTAAATTATGTCCTTGTAATGATGTAAATATTTTAGTCATTATGCATTCCCTATAATAATTAAAACTTTATGGAAGCATACGATTGAAAAGAAATATTATTTTGGGCCATTTGCATGGTTCAAACCATTCCACTCTATTTTCATGGCACCAGACCAATTTCTATTTCGATAGAAACCTGTATACTGATTGCAATGTCGGACGAATATTTGTCTGCATATTCCTGTGGTATGCCTGTGCGCTATCATTGTTCACAGCTGTCGAAGCATACATTCTTTTTGCGAAAAATTTGAACTGCTAACCGGACAATAGACCTCCGACATACTTCGTACTGGATAGATTCGCTCTTTGCTTGGCGGAATTCGGATGTGATCAGACTTTGCTCGGGGCATTGTTTACGTTCCAGGTTTCCCGAGATGTAGTCGCACAAATATTTGTTCCGATTTTGCGCTTACATAGTACCGAACAAACATTTGTCTGGTCGATACATTTTGAAACTGGTACGCTTTCGTGGCGGACAAAAACTTGTACGGATAAGTGGTCAAATACTTAAACTTTTGTCTGGTAAATGAAAATCTGTCTGGTATCGTGTACACGCGGCCTAAGAAATATAGATCTTTGCATGCACGACAGACAAGGTGAATGCAATTAACTTTGCGCACTCACCAAATATGGGCATGATGACGTCAAACCAGACCTATGCATTAGTAAACTTATTTGGCGCAAAATCGCGCGCAGTTTATACCGACATCTATGCCTAATAACAACCGTTGTGTGAGAAAAGCCTACTTTAGTTAAACGGCATATTCACAGCCCTAACCAACAGAAAAAAAGAACGAGGACAGCCCGTAAGAAGCGCAAAAGGTTCGAGAGAAGAGAAAGACAAACCAAGGCGATACCTTACTAAAAATTCAGGAAGCTCTGGTCAGGATCAAGGAAGAAGCAAGCCGCCATATAATGAACTTGCCAGCAAATATTATTCGCTGTCGAGAAAGTGCGCAAAGTGATAAAACATCGCATATCAGTTGTGGGATAAAACGTGTAATGCGGTATGTTCATACTGTATAATATATTCTGTATAAATGCCGTATTAACAAAAAGCAAACGATGAAACGATTATATATTTTTTTTGCTTTGTTAAACTTTGGGCTATATAGACGCGCGAGTACACTAGTTGACGATATTAACTTAATAACAGATACAGTATTCGTTCAAATTGAATCATGTACTTAAAGCACAAACTTTCATGCTTTGTTGATTTGCTATAAACCAGTCATGCATTCTATTATTTACCACTGAAAGATTTAATTGTATTTAAGGTTTTCCATCTGCCAAACG